CGCAGTACCAGAGAGAGCAGACTCACTAGCACCTAGAGCAGCAGCCTCTATACCAGGGTCATACGGCGCACACAAGTAACAGTCACCCTCAACACTAGTAGACAGAGCATACATGCCAGCAATGATAGCATCAAAGTCTAGAGCAAAGATATCAACACCAGCCTTAAGCAGCTCTGCCCAGCGGGGCAGCTCATGCTCGTCGCCCATCTCTTGGCGCCAAGCGTCGTCTAGGCGGGAGAAACAGCGGTGCTGGGTGTGAAACTTCCCGCATGTCTGACCAGCGCGGGGACCTGTGCGAATAACATACGATCAGCGACCACTACCACCACCCCTAGACGCCGTACGCTGAGCAAGCCACTCACGAAGCTGCTGGGGCGAGAGGGTCTCACGCGGACGCTGCTGCTGCTGCCGCTGAACTGCGCCAGAGCGATCACCACCGCCGCCGTTGCCACCACCCCCACCGCTGCCACTCCCGCCACTACTGCTCCCACTGCCACCACGACCACTGCCACCACACCCCCGCCGCCGCCGCCACCTCCTGTGCCGACGCCCCCACTCGCTCCACCACTCCCACCGCCACCTCCACCACCTCCGCCTCCCCAACCACCTCCACCACCACCCCCCCCGCCGCCACCCCCACCTTCCTTGCCCCCCTTGCCCTTGCCGCTGCGGCGCTTCCCACTAGGAGCAGAAGCAGCACCGACCTCCTCAGCACCAAGGAAGTCAACAGCAGCAGCAGAAGCGACAGAGGGGGCAAGGGGGGAGGGGGAGCACCCCTCAAAGAAGGGCGTGCGAGGGGTGCCACGGGTAGCACCTACAGCGACTATGTTGGCTTCAGCTTCAAGAAGGTGCTTCCCTAGCAGGTCGATAGTGAGGTCTGTGGGGGGGGAGAGCGAGAAGGGTGTCCCGGACTGCACTAAGAGAGTCAGGGAGGCGTGTCACTACTATAAAGTGGAGAGTGATACAGATCGAGGGCTCATTCTTGGGGAGGAACTCGGTAGGGAGGGCAGCACGGTAACGAGCGTCCGTAGCGCGAAGTAGGGAGAGGCGATCATCTACAGTGGCGAAGGAGGACAGGTCAGGGAAAAGGTAGGGCAGGAAGAGGCGGCTAAGCGCTGCAGTGGCAGGGGATGAGTAGCGGGCAACTACAGCGTCGTACAGGGCCTTAGCAGTTTTCGCCTGGTCAAAATGCTCGCATTCAGCTACCGGCAGGTGGTTGCGAATGGCTAGGCGAGCAGCAGCATCGCGGGTAAGCCACTGCGAGCGAGTCGTCGCGTCAGCTGAGGCTGGTGGGGCAGTGGAGGCACCAGACGCTAGGTCATAGAGCGAAACACCGTCCCTAGCGTCGCTCAGCAGGTACAGCTGCAGGTCCTGGAGCCAGGTTTCGAATTTGACTGGGCGGCCGTCAGGATCGAATGCGAGAATACGCAGAGTGGCCATAGTTTAGCAGCTCAGTAGTAGGGCAGGGCAAAGGCAGCGCAAGGGCTGCAGAGGTTTCAAGCACGCAGCAAGGGCGGCGCGCGAGGCTGTAAGGGCAAGGCGCAGGCTGCAAGGGCGTTGCGCGGGGCTGCAAGGGCGGCGCACGGGGCAGAGCAGAGGCAGCGCGAGGGCTGCTGGGGCAGGGCGCGGGCTGCAAGGGGCTGCGCGCGGGGTGGGGCAGAGGCAGCGCGAGGGCTGCAGGGGCTCGCGCGGGGCTGCAGACGGCAGCGTGCGGGCTGCAGGGGCAGCGCGCGGGGCAGCAAACGGCAGTGCGCGGGCTGCTGGGGATGCGCGCGGGGCTACAATGGGCCGCGCGCGGGCGGCGAAGGCGGCGCGCGGGCGGTGAAGGCAGCATGTGGGCTGCGAATAGGCGACGCGCGCGGGCTGCAGGGGCGGCGCGCGGGATTGCAGGGGCGGTGCGCGTGGGCGGTACAGGGCAGGGTAGGGCGTGGGGTAGCGCGGTATCTGGTGGGCCCTAAAAAATCGGTCCAATGGACCTACTGCTCTTAATACCATGTTGAGAATCTAGGCCAAGAATGATTGGACTAGGAAGCAATGGGATACAAATGTGAAAACCCTAGAAGGGTTGTACCCCTTAGTGGCTACCCCACTATAGCCTACACAATATGCACAGCATATAGTTTGACAGCTCTAGGCTTACACGCTACAGCTTACCTCTCCCTAGGCGGTGTGTATACATAACGTTATTCAACCCCCACCACGTGTTTTTTGGGTTGCGTAGCGACCCTTTACATTTGGTAGCACTTTTCGGTCGACTCGAATGAACAGTGCAATTTTTGTCATTATCCCAATGTTTAAAGCCCTCGTTTCAACGTTTTCTAGACGAGTGCTCCAAATTTGTGTAGATGACACACGAGTCCCCCAAAAATGAAGCCAAATGTAACCTTTCGTTCCATAATTGTCGATAAATACGGCGAATGGAACAATTGTTCGTCACAAAACACAATTGACGAGAAACACCCACTGGAGGTAAATGCAAATCATGTGCAGTGCATCCATCGATCACGTGCAAAAACACATAACTGAAAGTGAATGCTAAAATGCATCGATGCTACAACTGAGATGGTTCCGGTATGCTAAGGCGAACAGCGCTGCCCCAACAACGATCCCCACCTCAAATGCAGACCCGACACATTTTGACATCACACCTCAGTTGCATAACACGTGCAAAAACAACACAAACAACAGCGAGTGAATGCTAAAATGCACCGGTGCTACAGCAAAGGTGGTTCCGGTATGCTAAGGCGAGCAACGCTGCCCCAACAACGATCCCCACCTCAAATGCAGACCCGACACACTTTAACATCACACATCAGCTGCATACACGAGGCACTTTAGCACACGCTTCGAGACAGACAGGTGCAAACAGACAAACACACATATCTCACATAGGCTCACACGCGCACGTACACACACGCATAAGCACATGCAAAGCAAACAGACACACACGCAAACAAGCACAGATAGATACAGAGACAGTAATAAAGACACAACCGTCATGAATAAAATTCAGAAATGCAGAAATGATTGCTAGCCTATCCCACCTTCCCCCTCCCTTCAACCCTCCCTCCCTCCTTCCCTCATCTGCATCCCACTCCCTCCCTCATCTCCCTTCTCAGCTCATGTGCCCTGCACAAAGCAAAATCAGGGAAGTCAACACACACACGCCCTGCACAAAGCAAAATCAGGGAAGTAAACACACACACGCCCTGCACAAAGCAAAATCAGAGAAGTCAACACACACACGCCCTGCACAAAGCAAAATCAGAGAAGTCAACACACACACGCCCTGCACAAAGCAAAATCAGAGAAGTCAACACACACACGCCCTGCACAAAGCAAAATCAGAGAAGTCAACACACACACGCCCTGCACTAAGAAAAAACAGAGAAGTTAGCACACACGCGCCCTGCACAAAACAAAAACAGAGAAGTCAACACACACAAGCCCTGCACAAGCAAAAACAGGGAAGGCAACACACACACGCCCTGCACAAAGCAAAATCAGAGAAGTCAACACACACACGCCCTGCACTAAGAAAAAACAGAGAAGTTAGCACACACGCGCCCTGCACAAAACAAAACAGAGAAGTCAACACACACAAGCCCTGCACAAGCAAAAACAGGGAAGGCAACACACACACGCCCTGCACAAAGCAAAATCAGAGAAGTTAGCACACACGCGCCCTGCACAAAGCCAAAACAGAGAAGCTAACACACACGCGCCCTGAATAAAGCTACAACAGAGAAGTCAACACTCACGCGCCCTGAATAAAGCTACAACAGAGAAGTCAACACTCACACGCACTCTCTCATGCTCTCTCACGCGCTCTCTCACACGCCTCTCCCACACTCTCTGAAGTGCTCTCTCATGCGCGCACTCACGCGCTCTCACTCGCTCACTCACGCGCTCTCTCACGCGCTCTCTCACGCGCTCCCTCACGTGCACACTCACACGCTCTCTCACGCGCCCTCACGCACGCTCACTCGCTCTCTCACGCACTCTCTGACACTCTCTGACGTGCTCTCTCATGCGTGCACTCACGCGCTCTCACTCGCTCACTCACGCGCTCTCTCACGCGCTCTCTCACGCGCATGCTCCCTCACGCGCGCTCTCACGCGCACACTCACACGCTCTCTCACGCGCCCTCACGCGCACTCACGTGCACTCTCACGCGCTCACGTGCACTCTCACGCGCTCTCTACTGCACTCTCTCACGCACTCTCGAACACGCTCTCTCACGCTCTCTCACACGCTCCCTCACACGCTCTCTCTCGCGCAACCTCTCGCCCACTCTCACGCGCATTCTCTCTCTCAAGAGCTCTCTCGCGCGCTCTTTCACGCGCTCTCTCGCTCGCACTCTCATGCGCCCTCTCACACTCTCTCACGCACTTCCTCACGCGCTCTCAGACGCTCTCTCACGCGTTCTCTCGCGTGCTCTCACGCGTTCTCTCGCGTGCTCTCACACGTGCTCTCTCACGCGCTCTCTCACACACGCAATCTCTCACGCACACTCTCACGGGCTCTCTCACGTGCTCTCTCACGTGCTCTCTTACACGCTCTCTCTCACGTGCTCTCTCACCCGCTCTCTTACACGCTCTTGCACGTGCACTCGGACGCGCTCTCTCACGCGCTCTCTCACGCGCTCGCGCTCTCTCACGCCCTCGCGCTCTCTCACGTGCACTCTCACGCGCACTCTCATGCGCACTCTCACGCGCACTCTCACGCGCACTCTCACGCGCACTCTCACGCGCTCTCTCACGCGCTCTCTCACGCGCTCTCTCACGCGCTCTCTCACGCACGCACTCACTCACGCGCACTCTCACGTGCTCTCTCATGTGCCCTCACACGCTCTCGCATGCGCTCTCGCATGCGCACTCTCACGCGCTCCTTCACGCGCTCTCACACGCTCTCTCACGCGATCTCTGACGCACTCTCTCACGAGCTCTCTCACGTGCTCTCTCACCCGCTCTCTCACACGCTCTCGCACGCGCTCTCGCATGCGCACTCCCACTCGCTCCCTCACGCGCTCTCACGCGCTCTCTCATGCGCTCTCTGACGCACTCTCTCATGCACTCTCTCACGCGCTCTCTCACGCGCTCTCTCACGCGCTCTCTCACGCGCACTCTCACGCGCTCTCTCACGCGCTCTCTCATGCAATCTCTCACGGGCTCTCATGCGTTCCCCCGCGCTCCCTCTCGCACACTCTCTTGTGCATTCTCTCTCACGCGCTCTCTGATGCACTCTCTCACGCACTCTCTCACGCGCTCTCTCACGCGCTCTCTCACGCGCTCTCTCACGCGCACTCTCACGCGCTCTCTCACACGCTCTTTGATGCAATCTCTCACGGGCTCTCACGCATTCCCCCGCGCTCCCTCTCGTGCACTCTCTTGTGCATTCTCTCTCACGCGCTCTCTGACGCAGACTCTCTCGCACACTCTCACGCACTCTTACGCGCTCTCTCACGTGCTCTCTCACGCGCTCTCTCACGCGCTCTCTCACGCGCACTCTCACGCGCTCTCTCACGCGCTCTCTCATGTGCTCTCAGGCACTCTCTCACGTGCTCTCTCACCCGCTCTCTCACACGCTCTCGCACGCGCTCTCGCATGCGCACTCTCACGCGCTCTCATGCGCTCTCTCACGCGCTTCCTCACGCGCTCGTGCTCTCTCACGCGCACTCTCACGCGCTCTCTCACGCGCTCTCTCACGCGCTCTCTCACGCGCTCTCTCACGCGCTCTCTCACGCGCACTCTCACGCGCTCTCTCACGCGCTCTCTCATGCAATCTCTCACGGGCTCTCACGCATTCCCCCCCGCTCCCTCTTGCGCACTCTCTTGTGCATTCTCTCTCACGCGCTCTCTCTCGCACACTCTCACGCACTCTCACACGCTTCTTTGATGCAATCTCTCACGCGCTCTCTCACGCGCTCTCTCACGCACTCCTCACGCGCCCTCTCTCGTGCACTGTCTCGCGCATTCCCTCTCTCACGCGCTCTCTCTCGCGCACTCTCACGCGCTCCCTCACGCGCTCTCAAACACGCGCTCTCTTACGCGCTCTCTCACGGGCTCTCACACGCTCTCTCACGTGCTCTCTCTCGTGCACTCTCTTGCGCAGTCCCTACGAGGCTAGCAGAAAAGAAAAAAATAAGGGGAAATTTCAGAAGGGGCCATGGGGCTTGCGAACAAGGCGCCATGGCGCCTGCGAACAAGGCGCCAAAGGCGCCTGCGAACAAGGCGCCAAAGGTGCCTGCGAACAAGGCGCCAAAGGCGCCTGCGAACAAGGCGCCAAAGGTGCCTGCGAACAAGGCGCCATGGCGCCTGCGAACAGGGCGCTAAAGGCGCCTGCGAACAAGGCGCCAGCCTTCAAAGGCGTCAGCCTTCGAGGCGCCAAGCGCCCTGCCAACGCGAATACCACCTACCGGAGCAACTGATGAAGCGCGGCAGTGGGAGAGGAGACTACTGCTCTACCAACGTTGAACAATCTTGCTAGAATCAAGAAACGTTTGATTAAGATCAAGAATCGAGGCTCAAAAACAGATGACTGAAACAAGAAACGTGGAAGCAGTCGCTTGATGGTGTTCGAACTCCTCACGATAATCTGAGCGGGCATTGAAAGAGCAAGAAAGATGCGCTTCGGGAAAAACATGTGCAAGAAACATCATGCGGTGCGGAGAAACATGAGGAAGAATACGAGGCACCAGCACCAGCGCCAGCGCGTTACCGCCAGCATCTGTGTGCACGTGAAATTCAGCTGACTCCAGCTGCAATTTGTGTGCAGTTTGTGCCAGCTCCAGGAAGTGAAAAACTAAACGAACGTTCCCCGTAATAGTAGAGTCGTAAATCACTAGTCTAATAATAGTACATGCTTATACTCTTCACTCAAAATTCCTCATGATTTAGTGTGTGAGATAGAGAAAAAAATGCAATACATATATAACAAAAATCTTGATGGGAAAAAATGTTATATGCACAACTGCGTTGCATTTATCTTGAGTACGGCATTCAGGACGCGATAAAAATAGACGATCAATTCCTGTGGTCTCGATTCTCTCTCTTCTTAATATTGTTTCCGTTTACCTCTGCGTGGCAGCTCGCAAGGTGCCGTGCGACTACAGCTAATACACCACCAAGGAGGCTGTCATGCTACTTTGTGCAGCATGTTAAAAAAACAACGACAAAAGTGCAGTGGCGCATATTCCAGTTCAATCGTTCCGTACTTCGCTTTTGTCATTCATGCATGCTTTGATGTTGACTGTGCGAGTGTGCGACTGGAGATTGTGAATGTGCGACTGGGGAGCAAATGGTGGTAGGTTGCGGCTGGCCGATTCGTGCGTTCGGTTGACCTGCATGTAAGATAATTGTTACCGTTCTAACAATGGCTACAATTATGGTTGCTGCAAATTTGATCCAAACAGAGCATCATGACGTTGGCTTGTGTGTGTGCATGTGGATCTGTCGTGCCCTCATCCCTGCTATTCTATGGTTGCACTAGCCCCTCGAACGCTCTGGCCCATGTTTCCTAAGACTCACGATCCATTGCTATGATTGTCTTGCGGGTTTCATCATTGTCGAAGCCCCGGACTTGCGGTCACGTAAAAGTCACATTTCGAACACATTTTTGTGAATTTCGGCACTTGCCATTTTCGCGATGTGAAACATTGTTGGCAGGGAGATAGCAGCCTTAGTAGGCTTGAGAAACGGGTATGAAGTGCTCTCTGGAGTTCTCTTGAATTTGCACTATAACTTCACAAATTTGAGAGTACAATTTATAGAGCCCATTCATACATCGAGTCGCACTCCCAAGTCGCGGCACTCTGAATTTCTCAATGGTAACCCAACCCTTTGAAATGAACTTGCCATGAAATTCAGAGAATTATTGCGGTACGAGATTGGACGACGAGCTTGGTTACGGGGCTGTAATTTCGTCGGTGTTGTTGGCGAAGTCGGCGAGCGGTCAGAACTTCGGTGTTCTGCGTTTTGTAATTTTTGCGGGTGGGTTTAACTTGGCCTGCTTGTCCGAACTTTGTCGGCCAACTGCAGGTTGAGGCGCTTGACCAATCCGGACTGTAGGTGAGGTGGCGCTTGACTTCCGCCCACCTGCATTGCAGTTGGCAGCATTCGGCTGCTGCACTGTTACATTACTTCCCCCTCTACGTGGCGTCGTCCACGGCGCCAAACCGCGGCTGGTCAAGTACCGATTCACAGGAGATGTGGCATGGTCAAGGTGGCTCTCACGTTCCCATGAGTCTTCACTAGCGGGCTGGTCCTTCCAATGAACAAGAAACTCACGACCATGAGGTGTGTCGCGGTGAGCAGTGATAGATGCAACCTCAAACAGGCCGGGGCTGCCTTCGAACATCGGTGGCAGTGGGCGTGGGGCTGGACGGTCGTGTGAAGGTGCACGGAAAGGGCGGAGGTGCTAGACATGGAAGATGGGGTGAATCTTTATATAGCTGGGCAGTTGAAGCCGGTAGTTGACTGGTGAGAGGACTCGGGTGATGGTGAATGGGCCAATAAAGCGAGGGGCGAGTTTTTTAGTTGTGCCTTTGCGTAGGAGAGGTAGGTGGTCAGTGGAGAGAAGCACTTGATCGCCAACCTTGAAGCGGATATCTTTGCGGTGGGAGTTGGCATAGTGGGTCTGTTTGGCTTGTGCTTTAAGGATGGAGGTGCGAGCGGCATCAATGGCTGATTCGAGTGAAGAGAGGAACTCAAAGGCTGCCGGAGTGTGTGAGAGATGAGATGGTGGGGTTGTTGGGAGGCGTGGGTGCTGTCCGGTTGCGAGGTAGAAGGGTGGCTGGCCGGTGGAAAGGTGGGGGGAACTGTTGTAAGCGAGTTCGATGGCGGTGAGGTGGAGGTCCCAATCGGTTTGGCAAGCGGTAACTTGTACACGAAGGGCGTCTTTGTTACGATATGAAATTCAATGAGAAGGCATTCCTGTATGCTGCAGGAGCCGACTCTACCGCGTACAAAGTCGAGGCGTCAGAAGAGTCGAAGCGACGCCAGCAACCGTCAGATCAAGACCGATGCAGGCAGTTAACATTTGAAGTGAAAAGAGCGGGAACAGGTTTGAAACAGGTTCCCGCGCCGCACGGTTTGAACTTCGCTGCAATAAGGGAATGTACCCCTTAGAGTACATAGCTAGTCTAGGTCTTTCTTTTCGTATTCCCTGTATTTCCTATATAAACTCGATGTATGCATGTCATCATCATCTCAGTTATTTTACATTCACTATGATCTGATGTCAACACTTCCACTACACACTACTTGCGATCAACCCTGAGCGATCCTTCAGTAAGTCCCATTTGGGATTGTAACATGGTACGAGAGCTACTCATGAATTCTTCGCAACGTCACTTCCGTAAAATTCGCCGAACCTAAATCTGGCGAGCGGCACACGCTCCAAGACCAAGATGGCCAGAGGCCAAACGAATCGGACGGCCGAAGGACAAACCAACCCGGCTGCGACAAATGAGGCGACAACTACGATCAGCACTGCCGGACTTGAGCAGTTATTCTCGCGACTATCAACTATGGAGAAAGAACTCCAAGAATTGCGCAAAGGCGACGCGAGAACCTCTTCCCAACCAGCTCAACCTGGTCAACCGGCTTAAAAAAGCCATGATACTGCCGCGCACAACTTCTCTCTCGACAAAGACAAATCAACAACAATTGCCCCCTGTCCAAGTGATGAAGTCATCAACTCTGCGCAAGCACAATTCCTCCTTGTCTAAAAAATCAAGACTGCTGCCGCGTTTGAAGGCAAGAACTTCTACACATGGAGTTTTGAGCTGGAGCTCCTCCTACAAACAGTGCGGATCTACCACTACTTCGACGACTCCTATCCTAAACCGGTGGAAGACACCGAAGACGCCCGGGCTCAGTACTACAGTGAGTCCCTTATGGCGTATAGTGTGCTGCTGCGCAATATGACGCCTGCGGAACAACTCGGCATTCGCTCCTACAAAGAGAGCGCCGCTCCAGCCCTGGAAGCCTAGACGCACCTCGTTGAGGTATATCAGCCGAAGGACTCAGTCACCTCCAGCAGGCTCCTGCAGCAACTCATGGAGACTAAGACAAACATACATATACTAACCGCTGTCAAAACATTCGTGACCAGATCACGAAGCATGGAAGCGCCATTTCGGAGGAGATCTTCGTCAACATCATCCTCCAAGGCCTTGGGCCTGAGTGGAAGCCCTGCAAAGCGCTACTCCGACAACGAGGAATCATCTCAGAAGTCGCGCTATGCGCCGCCCTCCTGACTGAACAGCACGACATGGATTCGAGCAGGACAAGCTCCGCGCCGCGCCGAGAGCGCCTCGCCTTCTACACAGACAACCGTGAAGAGCGACGACAACCAAGGCGCCACTATTGCAAAATCTGCAAAATCTTCGGACACTCAACGGACCGATGCATATTCCGGTCCAGCTGTCACCACCCGAATTCCACTCACCACAACAATTGGGTCGGCCGACAAGACGTTCGTCAATATCTGCTTCAACAACAAACTTCTCGCCCTCCTACACAGCAACAACAACAACAACAGACTCAAGCACCTCAAGCAATAGCTTCTAGAAACTTCATCGCAAACATGGCGACAAGGCGTCGCCCACGCACCTCTGAACCAGACGAAGAGGAAGAACCTCGCGGCGAGCTCATTCAACCTGAAGAAGGATGGAACAACCCCTTCACATAGAATCACTACTACCCGTACGACGAGGACGAACAAGTTTGGCATCAGCCAAAACAACTGCGGGAAAGCCCGCCCCACGACAATCAGCACTTCGTACGTGTGGGATGGAAGGAGGATGAAGATCCAGCATTCCACAAAAGATTCAAAGGCAACTCAGGTAACTCCGCGGCTTGCGTTACTCTTGTGCAACGACCACAGAAACCATAACACCTGGTACCTGGACAGCTGCTGCGGCCAACACATGGTTGGATCCATCAAGTACATCTCGAACATCAGCCGCGCCCCTGCCACCTACCTTACTGTCGCCAACAACGAGTAATTGTGAGCAAGCGCACAAGGCATCATGTTACTGCAAGCCCGAGACAGCAACACACACATCTCGTTCAACGATAACCTATTGTTGGCAAGACAACTCAGAGACTGCGGAGTCATGCTCGCCACGGACCCGTACACGCGCGACCTCATCCTGACCTACGCTCCTCCGGATACCCCCCCCCCGCCCCCCCCCCCCCCCCCCCCCCCCGCCGGAGTCGCACAAATACCTCGGAAGAGCTCGATCGATGGACGGCGTTTATGTACTGGACTTTGACATACCCAGTTGCCAGGCCTCATCAGACGAGCTCGTTGACCTCGTTCCCCTGGA